TTATAACATCCCTTTGCTTTTTTTGTCTAAGTCATCAAGGCAAAAAAAGCATAGCGTAGGGCCCTGAGCTTCCAAGCTCTCTCGTTTGTTATTTGTTTGTTTGGGTGTTTGTGTCACACCTGGCGCTATCCGTATCTGACGGCAAAAAAAGGATAGGATGTTATAAATTTTTCAATTCTCCTATTTTTTTTAGGCATATCCTGGGATTCGAACCCGCACAATCGCCCTACATGCATTCCCCCATACACTTCGCATTTATACCCATTCTTCCAAGTTGCTTCACGTTATTTAGAAAAGCGATCCTGTCAGCTTTTCTATTATTGTGTTCACATGGCAAGAAAAACGACATCGTTATGCTACGTAAGTTTCTACGTAAGGTGCTCGGTATTTCACTTAGGCTACGTAAGTCTCTACGTAAGGTGCTCGGTATTAGATCTACCAACGGGTGGTAGCCGCGTGCTGTGCACGTGCACGGCAGACATTGTGTTGCAGTGCAGTCCGTGTTCGGATGTGCATGCGCGAGGAACTTCCTCCTTTGGAACTGCTTCTTGTATGAGCTGTTTCGGATATTTCGTCTCCTGGCCTGGCTTATTTCGTTTCGTCGCTGCTGAAACTTCCTTTCGCGGAATATTACTCAATGACAGGTGAGTTGACCAGTTCCCTTTGATTCTTTTGCTTGTGTTGACTCTTTCATTTACGAAAAGTGTGCTCATTTTGGGCGGAATGCAATAAATAATGGAAAAGCTGACAGGATCTCTTTTCTAATTTAGCTTTTCCACTGCCGAGGCCTCTTTTTACGGAATACTCGATGACAGGTGATCTCTGAGTTGACCGGTTTCCTTCGATTCATTTGCTTATGCTCACCCTTTCATTTACGGAAACGTGTGCTGATTTTATTCGGATTAAGATCCATTTTTATCTCTTTGCCCTTGTCTACAGTGTGCGAAGAACGCGAGTTCACCTTCTTGACGGTAAGGCTTATGTTAGATGTGTTGTCGAAATACTCATATTCATTGTACATTGGTACGTTACAAGTAAGGCACTGGTCAGTGGCATACTATCGTTGGCGGTTCCCAATCTGGACGGAAAGGTTCAAGGACCCATTGACCGAAAATCTCCATTGTGGAGAGGTTCAGTAAACTTGTTTGCTTCGTACGAAACAAGTCAAAGGGTGCAGGCTCGTCTCGTGAAGATCTCGTACTTGTATGATTGGATTTGTTTACTCGAGTTTGGTCTGTTTTATTTATTATTTGTGAGTTCCGCCGAGATTGCACTGCCCCAAATGAAGTTTCGTGCCGCCAAAGCAAGAATTACGATCTGCAATCGGTTTGTAGTACCTGCAAGAATGTGCTGTACATGTATCGTACTTTCTCTGTTGCTGTTTCAGTTGCCGTCATGTTGCTAAAGAAACGTTCAGTAGAGAGGTTCTGCAAAACGAAAATTCGAACGAAGTTTCGCGACAGTCCTTGCGAAAGTGTGTACGAATTTTTGCACGAACTTTGCGTTCTGCACATTTTCGTAGTTTGCGCAGGCCAAGTGCACGTACGCCATGACCCAATCTCACGAAAGTGTGTACGACTGTTCATTTCGCGTCCAAAGTTGCGAAAGCTCGTGCGAAGTTTTGCACTTCATGACGTGGAACGAAAGTTTGTACGCATTTTCGTTTTGCAGAACCTCTCTAGTGACTCATTTGTTTCATACGAGACAAGTCAATGAGTCGCTGTGGCTTAGAATCTTTCGCTGTAGAAGAAATCTATTCGTATGTCTGTTGGAGAAATAATTGTATTCACTGGTTATAAAATAGGTCAAGACAAACTCACAGAATAAATACCATCGGTCCCTTGGTGTTCGTCCTAAAGAGGTTCGACTGGATATCATTTATACTCTCCAAAAGATGTGTAAGATTTTATTATTATGGAGTGCCTTGTTTATCTCTCAGTACCTCCAACCATAGTCTTGCCCCTTTTATCCTCAGGATCAGTGTAGTTGTTGGAACGAGGTGTCGGACTCAGCAATGTATTTGTTTACATTTTAATACATGTTTATTGTTCCTCCTTTGCTGTGTTGTTTTAGAAAATCGAGGACTAACAGCTTGAAGTCATTGAACTGCTTCCAAAAGTTGTATCGACATCAACAGGGTTACGATTTCAGTGCAATATGATGCAGGATGACCTTATCACGATAACCCATGATTATAAACCATTATAAACACAGAATCAACAAAAACGCGACACGCACCTGGTTACATTTCTCAAATAAATCTGATCGGGTGTGGGGAAATCTGAAATATCTGAAACGCAAGACAATTTTATGACAGAGTCATGAAATTCTGCTACAGCAACATGCACAGGATGACCTCCGTATAAAAAAAAGTACCACCACGGTCCACCACTACTCACATGTTTCCCCGCAGAAGAACATGCTAGTGCCATATTCTGCAAGAAAAGGCTTGCACATCAATGCGTATAATACGGTATTGATATGATGTGAAGGCCATCATTTACATATTGATATAGGGCATTCCATTGATTGGTGACAGAAAAAACAAAAGAAATTATAGCAATAAAAACTGCTTTGTGGCAGTTTTCTAAAAAAAGTTATTGTGTTCTAGTCCGTGGACCCCGTCTAAAAAGTAAGAAATTAACGAAATGTGATAGCTGAAAATTTTCAGCTATCACATTTCGTTAATTTCTTACTTTTTAGACGGGGTCCACGGACTAGAACACAATAACTTTTTTTAGAAAACTGCCATAAAGCAGTTTTTATTGCTATAATTATCTTGCGTTTGAAAGCCCTATTTGAATATTGCGGGCAGCTAGACGGTGTCGTATTACCCTCGATCGTACCTGTCCCGTACCTATCCCCTACCGTATCGTGCCATCAAAGACGGCTGGCCACAATGCATATTCAAATAGGGCTTTCAAATGCAAGATCGCAATGTAAAACAACTTGGAAGAACTAGTATGTATGCGAAGTGTATCGGGAGATGCATGCAGGGCGCGCGATAGTGCGGGTTCGAATCCCAGGTTAAAAAAAGAGGATTTTTTAAAGAATTTATAACATCCCTATGCTTTTTTTTGTCTAGGTCATCAAGGCAAAAAAGCATAGCGTAGGGCCCTGAGCTTCCAAGCTCTCTCGTTTTATCGGTCTTCATGAAAAAAGTTCCGAAAAGCAATAAATTAGGTCCGAAAGTCTAGTTTCAGGATCCATGGCTGAACTACAAGCTCAAACCTTCCTCAAAATTACTTAATTTTAATTTTTTTAATTCAAATTCAAAAATGGACGCAAAGAAAAACTCTCCAACACGCAAAAAATCAGCGGATCACCTGGGTCGATTTGACCAACCCCTTCATTCAGCACAAGCCACATTCAGCTCAAGCTGAAAAAGGCTTGTTTGATTTGACCGGTGTCTAAAGCGTGCATGTATGCCACGCGCCTGTAGGGAATAGTTCTAGTTACTGCTGGCCGCTCTTCTCTCCCTCCCTGTACAGTTTAGTTATAGCCAGCGATGCACTGCCAATTGGTTATGGTGGAGTCGTCATCCTGGAGTTATCTCTTTATTTTTAGCAGCTCCAAGTTGCGGGTTCTATAGTTCACCCTGAAGATGGTTCACTCCGGAGAATTCAGTGAATCTGAAGTGACATCGGAGTGAAGACAGAAGATATGCAATGGTTCAATTTCCGAAATGGGGTTTGCGAACTATTGTAAAGGTGGGTGTGTGTGTTAAATGTGTGACGTAAATTATATATTTGGCGATAATACTAGTTGGGAAAGCGTACGACCTAATCCGAGTGTTAAAAAGTTGGTGCAACCTAAATGGGAGACCTTCTCGGTGTCTCTTCCTGAATGCTAACGTTACTTGAAGTCAAACTTGAATGACTGAATGTATTTCAACTTCGGAATAGGCCGCAGTAGGAATAAAGACGGTGAACTGCTTGTGTAAATCCCAAGCCGAATAGCGTGGGACCAAGCGGCTGGCTGTGTCACGTAGATGACCCATGTAAGTTATTGCTCGCAATTTGGGTGATGACTGCGCTGTCCAAGAAACTGGTCGTGGAGGCGAACTCTGTAGACCTTATGTGTGCCTTTTGTATGCAGTGAAACCTGGATCTCTCTGTTATTATGCCTATGCGCTTTTCTAGCAGCGTACCTTGGTGCGTCCATGGAGATATGAAGCCGAGACCTCTGGTCCGCTGAGCTTAATAGGCCGCACCACCGCACTCCATTATTTGCCCCGGCGTCTGGAGATATGTGGATTCTGAAGAAGAAGAAAAAAACTTGATGTACACTAACTTTCACCCATTTCCATTCCTGGCTATGGTAGAAGAGTATTTAATTGCATGTGCATGTAGAGATTGACGTGCGCAAAAAAACACTCCACAAAGACAGAATAGTAATGTTTGCTGGTTAGGTGTCATAACATCACCAATCATATGAATCTCAGCACCTGTGTAACTTTCGTGCAGGTAGTTATTTTCGCTTACACTTTGTGGTTGTTCTGTTACGATTTGGCAATACATTTCGATCGGGATAAAGTGATGTTAGGAAGCTACAGGGTTCAGTAGATGCCTGGTTTCATTAGCTGTATGCGGAAGAATAGCAGCCTATAAAATGCTCCTTTAGGTTTACGACATATAGTTCACAGAAATCTAACTGCATGGCCCAACCGTTCTGCTTACCAGGTCACGACGTTACTCTCTAGAAATTTCTCTATCAGCATCAATAATTGTTTCGCCCATTTTGCTTCAGTTAGCCATGAAAGTCCTTGTTTATTCGTGATTTTGTAGAAAAGAATGCTATACTTGCCGATTAGTTCACCGATACGGAAAATCACAAATTCACTCCAAAGTGCAACACGTCCATAATTTTCTTCTTCGACCAACGCTCCATGCAGGGTGTCCTGGAGCAACAGATCTATGGATAGCAATGCCTGTCTAGTGGATATATTAAGTTTGGAACAAATTTATTATGCATTATCTTGGTGGGAGAGCGGTTTACATTCAGTGCATATCTAAAGTAATCTGGCGAATAATGTCTTGCGCCTGCTCTTGCCCGGATTTCGCGATAGCTTGACTAACCAATCCCAGAACTACACTGGCCGTTAGCATGTGGCGTGGCCCAATCAAGGAGCCAAGAAGAAATGCATGATGAAGGTTTTCCGGTACTGGAATACCTATTCGTGGTGGCGGATGGTTCCATTTCCAAACCATTATCTGCTGGATGGCCATTGCAATACCGGGGCTATCAATTAGCACCTCATCCCACGTTTTAAGTGGATATTCAGTCAAATCTCGACACAGATGCCTAGGCCGCGACTTGATGATGCCCTCAGCCTTTTCAATTAACTCGTTCGGAACACCTTTCTGCACGCAGAATTTTCGCGCAGCTGGGTTCTTGAGGTATTCGATGTTTTCTTTGCCGTCCCAAACACTGAGGCATGCCTGTCTGGTAATTGCCCAAAGGTCTTGACGCAACTCAGCGTCTTCTACCTTGGGAGAACCGATACAAGATGCTCCAAAATCGGCGATTTTGATCTGACCAGACTGTCCGTGGACCAGAATATTTCCCTGGTGCAGATCTCGATGAAACAGGCTACAAAGGTGGAGAAATTCAAGACCAGCGTACATCTGCCGGGTCAGCTCTGTACGGACGAGAATTGTTGCCTTTCTGTGTCCTAGAGCAATCCATCGTGAGATGACAGTGTCACATTTAGGCAGAACGAGAACCAGCCGCTTCTGCAAGTCATTGATTTCGTATGCAGCGTCGACCAGTTCAATAACGTTGGGATGACCACCAGCATTTCCCAGGGCAGCTAGAAGATTGTACTCACGGACAATTACATCATGAGTGTGCCCGAAGATAATGACCTTGATCGCCACAGGCGCACCTGTACTGATTGTCCGTGCACTTTTAACCTCTGCAAAATTGCCGGAGCCCAAACACGGAACAGGGAGTTCTTGATATTCTCTCTCACCATGGAAACTTCTATATACCTTCGCTAATGCCATAATTGCTCGATGAAAATAACTTCTAATTGCTCAGCGAAAGCTTCCTGGAGTAGGAAATAGAAAGAGAATCAGGAAATATCTCGATTTCCCACTTCGCTAAGCAACACTGCAACTTCGTGCAAACCAAGCGATCTATCCATTATCCCGTAATCGCTGAGACCAACGTACAGCTAGTACGAAAGTGTTAAAGATAATCGGAGTGCTGTGTACGTATCATGACAAGTGGCCGTACCGGTATAAATCACTCGCTGCATATATTTCCACAACTAAAAGACCTAGAAACGGACCAACAACAACGCTTCCATATCTATAAAAAAAACCTCACACAGATGCATTGGAAATGATCTGCCACCAATGAACACAAGCCTCTTTCACGGACAAACAGAATTCAATTCACGATGGCATGATGAATAATATTAAACACAACACCAAAAGATGAAGAAAAAAATGGATGTGCAAACAGAATTTTGTTATAACAGTGTACCCTAAGCCTCTTGTACGGGCACTATACACACAATCGCAACCTCAACATGCTGGAAATAAGCCGAAATGGAAGGTAATGAACACAAGCGCAAACTCAACAAGATGAAAATGAGCTACAATGTATACTTTGATTGGCCAGCTGCATTAAATGCATGCCTCAAGCCAACCTGCTCGCAGTGTCTCATCACTATCAACCAGCGTTAGCGTGTACGAATCCCTAGCCGCAAGTAACAGCATCTTACAAAAACGAAAACATGCCTTGGAAGAAATGTAATTGCACAAACTGAAAAAAGTTTGTCTATGAATATTTCGAGACTGGCCGAGATCATGATTGAAAGATAATGAAATATGAACTGAAACACTAAATCCACGTGAAATAGAACGTGCGGTCTCTCCAGTAGTGGTCTACGGTCAAATATATAATGCACAAAAACTCCGGGAATAGGCTAAGGATTCGGGTGGGGTTCGACTTGCCCGTGATTTCCCGAATTGTATACTGCGCTTGTTCCTGTTGAGAATTTGGAGTCGCGTCGAACACTAAGATTGCGATCAACCGAGCCGTAAGCATGTCTTCGGGACCAAACAAGGAGGCCAGGCAAAACACTTGATGAAGACTTGCAGATACAGAGACAGTTCGGTCTGTGACTGGGTGCGAATGTTTCCACGCCATTATCTCGACCAGAGCTTTTTCAATGCTTGGATACACTACCTACAGCTTAATCCAAGATATCACAGGTTCAGAACCACGTGCTTGACATCAGGCAATGAAGCGATTCATGATGACGAGTTCTGCTTGTCCTAACGTTATAATTATCATCAGCTGGAATGACGTTCCAAAGTCGGCGATGTTGATCTGCCCGCAACGACCGTGCACCAGGATGCTTTGTTTGGATTTACATGTATATGTGTCAAAGTTGGATGGGACTTTGCTCTGGGCATGAAGATTATGTCGTTATTCGCAAATTGTCATTATATCCGCAGTAGTTATTAGCGAAGTTGACTGTAGGTCGCCATGTTCAGTATCTCATTGACGCAAGAATTCCACACCGGCGTATATTTGCCTAGTCAGCTCTGGTCTAACCTGTTCTGTAGCTAGCGCGTGCCCTGCTGCCTCGCACTTTTGGATAGTTCCGTCACACTTGCTGAAAATTAGCACCCGGCGTCTGCGCAGAGCACTGGCGTCAAAAGCTGAATCGTGCATCTCCAGCATGTTTGGATAGTCACCACAACATCGGGTAATGGCCATGACGGAGTGCCCACGGTGTACTTACTCCATGTTTACGGATTCAGCTTATTCATTGGCTTCAAAATAAATGTAAGCAGGACTGTAGAGAAGAGTCATATGGTAGTTGCAAGCAAACAGATGGAACGTTGCAAGTTCGCCCTACTTCAAAGAGTTCATGGGCAACAAATCTGCTCAGTCTCCGTCGTGTGCTGATGTGAAGGGAGATTCCCTTGTATTTGTGAACGCAACTCATGTTTTGCTTTCGCTGGGGTAATCACGGAGCTTCATATACTAATGCCTGCAGTTGTAGGCAGCCACTGCTTGTTCTGCTCGACTGCAGTGTCATTCTGGGGCACAGCGCTAATTTTGAATTAGGCGATACAACCATGCACTGGACAAAATAATTACATTGGGATGTGTCGAGAGCAACAACAATATACTAGCAAACGATTTTATTATGGCTTCGAAAACAACACTTAGTACACTTTTTTGTGGAAAGACCCGGCAAAGTACAACACTTTACAAAGTCTACACTTTTGTTGGTGCTGACCGGCGTTATGAATTTCTAGCAACTACAAGGCAAAGTTCTTCAGGACCAAACCTGACGATTCCTCTCTATTCCATGGCCAGGCTAGATGTGGCAGCAGACATGGATGAGTAATGTTCATACATGTATAGACATTTAATTAATCACAGGTTCTTTGATTTTGTAAGCTAAGGTAACATGATTATAGCATGAACCAGACAATTAGGGTATAGCACCACCGGTCAAAATTATACGAGCCCACATCCTAAAAGACTTCAAAAGTAATTGGTTTTCTCAAGCGCAAAAGGGAAAACGAAAAGAACTGCCCCCTGTAATGAGGGGTTATCAACGTTTGTGAGGTGTACGAAGCCACACTCAAATCCACTATTGACTGCCATTCTCCTCGTTCAAAATTTGAACTGGTGTAAGTTGAAATTGCAAATCTATTAATATTATGGTATTGGAAACATATACAAAGGTGACTCAGACCTCAGTGGAGTTGACCTCCGCTGTGATTTCGCGGATTGCTCCCTGTGCCTCCGCCCTCCGTGATGGCGAGATGGCATCACCGACCAGTTCTGCTACCACTTTGGCGGTGAGCATATGGCTGGGGCCAAGCAGGGAGGCATGGCAGAAGGCCTGATGAAGCTCTGGTGGTACTTTCAGGCCTCGCTGCGTGATCGGATTTGTCAGTTTCCACGCCATGAGGTGTCGTACCGCGTCCTGAATCCCGGGGCAGGTGCGCTGCAGATCCTCCCAGGAAATGAGGCGACGATCATCGCTCAAGTCCTTGCACATGTCATTGGGGCGGTACAAGATCACGAATTCCGCCCGTCCAATGACCTGTGGCGAGATACCCTTTCGTATGCAGACTTTTCTTGCAGCTTCGTTCTGCAAGTAATCCACATTGGCACAGCCGTGCCAAATACCAAGGCTGGCTTCCTTCGTCACTCGAAGCAGATCTTGCCTCATCTCGATCTCCGGGAAGGATACCATTTGGGCCGCACCGAAGTCCGAGATCTTGATTTGACCGGAAAAGCCATGGACGAGTACATTGCCCTGGTGTAAGTCCCCGTGCACAATTCCTGTTTCGTGCAGGAACTCAACTCCTGAGTACAGTTGTCTGGTGAGCTCCGTCCTGACGAGCGCAGTTGCTGACTTGAAGCCTGCTGCTATCCAGTTGGTTAGCGTACCATCACACTTTGTCAGGATCAGACAGGGACTCCTCTGAGGATCACTGGTGTTGTAGCCGCAATCCACCAACTCTATAACGTTCGGGTGGCCTCCAGAAGAGCGAATTGAGGAGAGCATCACGTGCTCATGCTCAATTGCGTGCAGATTACCTGCGACCAGTGGCACCTTTACCGCCACTGGGAAGTCATTGCCGACTTCAAGGGCACTGGCGACGCTTCCGAATGCGCCAGCTCCTAGACATACGTTTGAGACTTTCACGTACTCCTTTCGTTCGTTGAAACTCTTGTAGACAGTGGAGGCTGCCATGATGGAGCCTGTACAGGGAGTGAATTTGGAATCCAAGAAATTGAAAAATATGATCTCCTACGGGAAGAAAAGGACTGCTTCGGAAAAGCCTCCAGGAAATGGAAAAGGAAAGTGAACCATTCACACTCTCGATTCACGAACACTATACAACTCTGTTGGTCTCGTACTTCCAAGTGCCATATGTTATGTTACATGTACTGCAGCTGCATACGTTAAGCACAGCCAGGATGTTATGTTTTTGCGCTTAACGAAATTTCTATTGACTGCGCGTCCAATTATTTGAAACTCGGGTATTGAGCCAATAATAAATGTAGGGGGGAAAAGGACATAACGGAAATGAGTTAAGAGTAAATCTCCACCACTGTAACTAGATACTATATACAGTCAGAAAGTGCAACAACTTGGCACTAAACTGACAGAGTACTGTTTTCCTCTTCCTTTTCCTGTCACCGCTGTGCAGAGAACACAAGTTCAAACCATATAGATCCTCCGTTTCAAATATCTCTACTATCATGCCCTAAACTAAATCAACATCATGATAGTTGATAATACGAGTTTTCAGTTGTATGTATCCTACAATTGCCTCCTGATTCATGTAGTCACGGAATATAATTGTTTATGTCAAGAAAGAGCCGTAGAACTCAATCGTATAGTTTTAGACGTGAGAGCACGCATTGTTTTGTTCATTGCTATTTCATCTTTGGACGTGCGATTTTCTTGTATTTAAAGAAAAAAGTGCACGAAGCAGTCTGCAGGCATCAGCAGCTAATAAAAAACCAAATTATCCCAGGTGAAACAATCAAATTTATGCCAATTACCTTTTTGATGATTTCCAACAATCGAACTGGAAGACGGCCTTCATACACCCAGGGAATAAGAGCACCACGAGGAGTAGAAGTAAATATTTTTGTGTTAATATTGAAGTGATTTAGACCCCTGTTGAGCAGATGTCGGCAGTGATTTGGTGAATTGCGTCGCGTGCCAGCAGCTGTTCCTGCTCAGATATCGCCTGACTGACAGAATTCAGAATGCTTTTTGCGGTGAGCAACTCCTTAGGGCCGAGCATATTTCCATAGGTCAGTGCAAGATGGAGTGTCTCTGGTACTGGAATTCCACGCGGGTTACTAGGATGCGAGAATGTCCAGGACATCAGGGTTCTGATGACAGTTTCCAAGTCGGGATTTTGCTCGATTTCATCCTGCCACGAAGGAAGCGGCTGGTCGGTGAGCTTCATTGCAATCTGTGACGGACGATGCTGGATAATGT